CCTCCAGGCAGCCAGCCATCTATGCCCCAGAAGCTGCAGATCATCCCAGCAATCCACACACATGCGGACCTGTCAGCACCAGGGCTGCCCCATCTCCGCCGCCAGCATTGCGGCCAGAGCCCTTCTTCGCCGCCGCTGAGACCCGCAGCTCGAGAGTTGCGTGCCGCGCCGAGACCGTCTTGTCGCCATAGATCGGAACGTCATTCTCGACGCCAGGGTGGGGCCGCCCAAGCACAAGGGGGCCGGACACTAGGAAGTGGTTCACATTTTGAGATGCGGCGGCCTCTGCAGCTGCGGCAGCCGCGCCCCCCGCGGCCGGATGCTGGCTCGCGCCGCGCACGAGGGGGGTGAGTACCCACATGGCTCTCTCTATTATTCTGTCTTACTGCAGGCACTAATGGAAGTTTGAGCGGTCTGAGCGGTCTGATGAAGAGCTAAATCACTGAGAGGTGGCCCTTGGGTTGTCCACTTTGAGGTGTGCTGTGCATGAAGCGCCAAGATCAGCTGTTGCGCAAAACAAGTTTACGGTCATTAAAACAAGTTAATGGGAGCTCATATCATCGGATCCAATCAACACACGATTTGTGCTGCGCGTGCACGGTCGAAGCTTTGTCGAGCCCCGACACCCCAAAGCATCGAATCTGCCAGCACCGGTGCGCCCGTCACTACTGCGCTCTTAGTAATTCAAGTGCCACATGCAAGCGTGCAGCAGGCGCACAGACGGGCCCCCGGCTCGGGCGTGGCGCATGTGGCAGGTGCAACGAGTGCAGACGCCGCTGCTGCCACGCACGCACCTGTCCGGGCGCCCCGCCAGCACCGCGGCGTCGCGGCTTCGGCCCCGCGCCCAGCAGCAGCAGCAGTCACCTGCCTCCTCCACAGCAGCGGCAGTTGCGGACAAGGTCCGCGCAGCCAACGGGGCTGGCCGGGGCGTGGTCGTCACGCAGCTCACCCCCACCAAGGCGCCGGTGGTGTTCAGGACAGGCGGCAGCACAGCCGGCACTTTTAACGGCGTTTCAAATGCAGCAGGGGAGGAGCCGCAGCATCAGCAGGCGCGCACGGGTCCCCTGGCGGTGCTGCGGCAGCTGTACCTTCCAGAGGGGTTCCCCGCCACCGTGACCAGCGATTACCTGTGAGCGGCCCAGGGGAGGTTTTTTTAGTCCACCAGGAGCCTGCGGACTGTTGGGAGGTCGGGTATTTGCGTTCTCAGGCGGGGGAGGTTGCTGCGGCACAGGAGGGTGCAGCTTGTGAGCATGGCGGCGAATCAGGCAGCAAGAAAAGGGGGCGCGGGCGGTGGCGGGCGCCGCTGTCGCCACGCGAGGTGGCGTCGTCACCCTCTCTCTTGAAGGACCCAAACAGCGCCGCGCCACGTCCTCCTGTGCAGCAACCTCCTGTGGATCATAGCCTGCACCATCAACTCACATGTACCAACCTGCCCGCATCTGCCCCGTCTGACCAGGCCCTACCAGTTGGTGTCGGTTCCCACCCACATCACCGGGTGGCTGAGTCACTCCCTGGCCACCTCCAGCCTCCTCAAGGCGGTCGGCATCAGCGCGGGTGGGCGCTGGAGTGGACGCGGTTCTTTGGAATTTCATCAGAAGCCGGTCGGAACAGAACTGTATGGCTGCAGTGGGCAGGGCCGCTCCAACCGAGCATCTGGCTGGTGGTGACAGCTGAGCAGGCCGTTTTGCTGTTCTAGCACGCTCATTCTCAGTTCCCTGCGCTCTGCCTGTGGATCAATCTGACCTCCCACTGTGTCACCAAACCCCCTGCAACCCCAGGCCCCGTGGGCGTTGTGGCGGCATCGGCAGCGATCAAGTGGATCGTCAAGGTACGCACCCCCCCCCCC